GGGGCGGGCCGGCGTTCTTGCGGACAGCAGTGTAGACTTGTGGGAGCGTCTTACCTGGTGGAGACGCGCCGCCCAGCAGAGGGCAGCGCTGTTCAGTCGGTGCCGCAAGCACTCAAAGCATCCTCCTCCGCGTGCTCGAGCTAGCCGTGAGGATGGCAGCGATACTGGGGAAAGCCCTAGAAAGGAAAATTGCTTGGACTGAGTTAGGGGGTGGGTTGGCCCTTTGGACCCAGACCCCTGAGCTGACGCCCTGTACAAGCGTGGGCCTTGGCTAACCGTTCAGCGCCTGAGCCTCAGTCTCCCCATCTGCAAAGTGGAAGTAAGAACGGGCGCCTCTCAGAGGCGTGGGAAGCCACTGTCATCCCTGCTGGGGACCTTGACTTGTAGTCACTCTGGGACACTCGGAGTTGACATAGGAAGGCTTCAGTGTGTTGAGAGACAGTGTTTGTGGTAAACGCACACAGCGCCCATTTTTGTCAGATTCTGTTACAACTGACTGCTAGGTTTTATGTCAGAACTATCAGAGTTGTGCATTTTAAATCTCTAATAGATGTAAGTTGACTAAATTGACATTTAAGAGAGTAAGTATTGTTAAAAGTTTGTCCCCTTTGCTAATTATCAATGATTCAATTATGTACTTAATTTTCAGGTCAATAGTTTCTAACAGCTTTATTAAGGTATAATTAACCTACAATAACTGCACTAAAGTATACGAATGGAAGTTGTGACACGTGTGTAACTCATGAAACCATCCCCACAATGAAGAGAATGTACATATCCATCACCCCCAGAGGCTTCCTCAAGCCCCTTGTAACCCCTCCTGCCTCCCCCAAACACTGTGCTGTACTTGGTCACTAGTTTGCATTTTCTAGAATTTTATGTAAATAGACTGTACAGTAGGTATAATTTTTGGTCTGCCTTTTCACTCATCACAATTATTTTGAGATTCATCCAGGTTGTTGCATGTGTCACTTGTTCCTTCCTTTGCATTGATGACCGGTGTTCTGCTGGGTGGACGCACCACCGCTTGTTTATCCCTCACGTGGTGATGCCCATTTGGGCTGTTTTCAGTTTGGGGATATTGCAGTCAAGCTGCCATGAACATGTGTGTACAAGTCTCTATGAACATATGCTTTCATTTCTTGTAGTTAAAGACCTAGGAGTAGAATGGTTGTACCATGTGTAACTTTTTAAGAACCTGACAAGCTGTTTCCACAGTGACTGTGCCCTTGTATGTTCCCATCAGCAGAGTATGAGTTCATTTTAGCCATTCTAAGGACTATTTCAACATGATTTTAATTTGCACTTCCTTAATTATTAATGAACCTCAGTTTACACTTCGCACCATACACAAGAGTGAACTCAAAATGGTTCAGGGACCTAAACGTGAAACCTAAAACTGTAAAACTTCCAGAAGAAAACGTAGGAGAAAACCTTTGTGACCTTTAAACAGACAAAGATTTCACAATAAAACACCAAAAGCATGATCCATAAAAGAATAAATCGATGAACTGGACTGACGGAGCAGGTGATGTCACCCACACATCAACTCTAATACCCTCTAATGCTTTGTCCCCTTAGAAGACAAACACCATTTTTAAAACGAGAGTTTCTCTCTAAAGAGTCTTGAAGAGCTGTCTGGGGAAACTAAGGCAGCAAGCTAACACCCTGTTACCCCGTTCTCCCTGACACCTGCCCAGCACAAGTGGGAGCACGCTCCTCTCTGCTCCTCCGGCGGGCTCAGATGACCGCTGGGGAAGCCATATGACCCAGCAGGCAGGGCTCACAACCTCCAGGCCCCCCATCATCAGCTGCCCCTCAACACACTGTCCTGTGTTCCCCAGATTGCATCCTCTCATTTACCTTGAGGACTTTTCTCAAGTCCTAACCCTACCCAAGCCCACATTCAGCCGATGCCCCAGCTTCTGAGTTTACACAGAAAACAGAGGTCATCGGGCTCGATTTCCCCAAATCCTTGTCCCTCCTCTCAAACCCTTACCTTCATGTGACCCCACTCTTACCTCCTTCTCCCCCTCATTAAGCAGGAGATGCCCCTCCCCTTGTCCCAGGCTGATCTCTTCCCCTGGGCTCTGACCCTTTCCTCCTTCACGTCCTCAGGAACCCACTCCATCAACCACGCTGGCTTCTCCAAAGGTTCTGGGATGTGCCACCCAGACCCCTTCAAGAAAGGACTGGTTGTCCCAGCTGCTGGCAACGCCATTAGCAGAGAGCCTTCCACTGGGGCCTCCTGCCGCGTCTGCACGCCCTCCCCAGGGCGGCCCACACCCAGTGACTGGCAGAGGCAGTTGTGTAAAGGCCAGGCCATTTCAGCCCAATGCAGGACAGCTGTGATGGGCCCTTTACGCTCCACAGTGCCCACGGAGTCAGCTCAGGGTGTAAGGTGGGGGTGATACAAGGCTAGTAGTCACCCTACACCGTCACAAGACGTGGGGGATGGACAATCATCAGTCACCCTGATCTCAGGTGGTCCCTTTGCTCAGTCTCTGGGAACCAAATAACTGAAGACGTGACCACGTCCCCGGCAACACACTGTGACCCCCAGCCCTTCCCCAAAGGGACCAGTGGCCATTTACTCAGGTAATGGTACACTCGGGAAAGAGGAAGACCCAGGCGTTTCAGGGGTCAGAGCCGGCACTGAGATATGGGGACCAGAAGTGTCATCACTGCCCTCCTGCGTGTGCGGGGCCTACAGGGACCAGACAATAAACAGAGAGCTGGCCAAGGGGCCACATTCGCCTGGTCCCTGAACATGTAATTGGGGTGGACGCACTCGGACGTTGGCACACCCCCGTACTGGGTCCTTGGCCTGGGGTAGGAGCTACCGTAGTGGAGGACGCCGGGGGGAGCCTGGGATACTGCCCCTCCTCAGCCCGGCAGCACTGCATCCAGAGGAGGGTGGAGCATCGTGGATCCAAAGGCTGCAGTGGCGGCGGTCCTGATCCCTCTCTACTCCACCCGCTGAGGCTGGGCGACGGCGATAGACCACCATGAACTCAACCAGGAAGCGGTCCCAACTGCAGCTGCCTCAGCAGCTGTGGTGTCTTTGCCAGAGCAGAGTACTAAGTCTTCAGGTACATGGTAGGTGGACTGGGATTGGGGAAACGCATTCTTTTCTCTTCCGA